CGGAGTGCCCCCCGATGGCCAGCTCGCCTCGGCGCGGCCGGCGTTAAACATCACCCTTGAGAATAATTAAGAGGATGAATTATAATCTGCCAACTTTTATCTGCATATCATTACATCTGTGTTTGGGAAAGGCAGCTTTCGACTAAAAAACAGCCTTCAGAGACCAGACGGGATTACTTGCAGAAGACTGATTAATCCAAGTTTAAAATACTTCACACCATGTTTATGTCCTGACAAATTAAAATTGTTCTTTGGTTCTCAGTCGCTAATGCATCTTTAATCTCTAGATTATTTTGAAACGAGACAGCGCAAACAACTCAAAGAGAAGTAAACTGCTTGCATCAAAAATTCAGAATTACCCAGAAAGCTAGTGACCTCCACTGGCTGCATCCATCGCTACAGGACCACGAAATGCCACACACATCGCCTGCCGCCAGCTCTGGTGGAGAGATTCAGTCCTGACTTCTGATACCTTTCCCCCAAGTAATTGTATAATTTAACGTTCTCTTTTCTGCTGCAAAATGCTAACTCTTCAAATGAAAGTTGCATCTCTGTGAGTGTAAATATTCCCTTAGTAAGGTAAATGAAGCCAGGAAAAAATAGTTTTACAGCTAAAGGTAAAGCAGGACAATATTTGCAGGAGAAGAGGAAGCTCTGGCATGCACCTCCGAACAAAAGGGAACAAGTGGTCTTTACTCGGAGAGCAGCTTCCTATTAAGACTCACTCCTTCGTACATTATGCCTTTCATCCCCACTCAACCACAAAATGATTTTGCTGTAGGAAATACAATGGCAGAAAAAGATTTACATTGAAAGAATCTTTAATAATAAACTGTTGCAGATCTGCCTACTTCCCCGTGATTTATAATACAATAAACATCGGATTCTATTAAGTCTCATGCACTGAAGACATGCACTGAAAAACCCAATATGAAAGCCCTCAATTCTTCCCGTCTCCAGTACCATAATAGTGAAATGAGCATGTATAAATGTGCTAAGAGTATCTCTTTGCATCTTTTATAGCTTGTGTGTATTAATCTGTAAAGCTTATTAAGAAAGTCATTGCTATGCAAAGCAGCACCCAATCTCTTTCTCTCGCTTTTCAACAGAGCGCAGTGTTGGGCCAATAGGACCGGGCCCCAGCCCCTCATTCGGCATTCATAACATGCGACATTTGCACAATGTATCTCTCAAAGGCTGCTGAATAGAAAGCCTTAATACTCATGTAAACAACTGCAAACCAATTACTTAATGAATCAGGCCCACACATAATGAGGTGCTAGACAAAGAGCTATAAATGCATTTTTGCGCCCGAGCCTCTGCTTTAAAGTAAAATCCCTCAGCTGTAGTTTGGGCTTAACTGGCACATCGTAATTATTGTCTGGAGGACATCAGAGGAAGACATTTTTTTTATTTCGGTCCAGCGGGGTCTTTGGCGAGGTCACTCATCAGCTCAGTGACAAAATGGAGCAAAGAAGAATTTATAAAAAGTACCATGGCAGCGCTGCACGGTTATGTTGATTCTCAAGTAGTGGGTTTCGAGACCACTTGTAAAAGCAATAAAGCCCGAGAAGTGACTGCACTAAGTGGAGCGCTTAAATGCGAGCGGCGAAGAAACCGCACCGTGTCCTGGCCGCAGACGAGCGGCCGGCCGCCCTTGCCGTTCCTCCCTCTTTCTCACTCTCACTACTTCTGCTGCTCTCCGTCTCTGCGGAGCGGATGCCCAGTGTCCGAAAGCGAGGGGTGTTAATAAACCTCACCTTTAGAAGGGTGCACGGCTTTTGACTCGTTCAGGAAAACTAACTTTAAGCTGTTGTGAGAGATTTTTTTTTTTTTAAAGCAGCATCATCGTGCATCAGCACACAAAGTGTGCTTGCTTCTGAGCACCAAAAGGCATGAAATTATAGGGCAGAGTGAATGATTTTAAAATCTATCGCAAATAAGAATTTGAAAAAAGCAGTGAAAAAAATGTACATGTGAACCATATGAAAATACCATGTGAACAGCATCCGAAAAATGCAGAAGTCAAACATATCATTAGCAAGCAGTGCAACATCCCAGGGGGAAAAGCTTGGAGACTTTTTTTAAGTAAAAAAAAAATTCATTTTAAATTATACATATTTTATTCAGATGCTTAACAGTGATCCTGTAAGCAAGTTCTTCAGGTCCCAATCCTTCTCTTCCTGCTGTCCTGGGCTTCAGTGAATGACTAAAATTTAACACTTAAAAATTCACATCTAGGAGCACCCTTGCATTTCATAGCATTAAGGAGTATGATTTGGAACATCAAAGTTCCAGAAAATAAAATTAAAAAAAAAAAGAAAAAGAAGAGTTTCCACATAAGACTAGAAGAATTAATCCCAAATATCAGCATGCATGTCCTTCCTCAGTATTGTATTACAGCTTGTGTTTATCTACTGTCCCTGAATGACAGACATACTGTGATTTTAACACAAAGTGCAGAACAACATTTGCACAACTGGACTTGCGTCTGGTATCAAACCCCACCTCATCCACAGCAGCACCAAAAAGCTGCAGAAAGCCAGCGATGTCGTACAAACAGAAGGAGTTAAAAATTTATCAAAACGCTGCAAAGCCCTTCCTGAGTGCTATCGATGGCGGCTGTCAGAGCGGGAGCTGCGGAGCAGCACGTGCTGGGCTGTTCTAATAAGAGCAGATAAGGATCTAAAGCCCAGCCAATATTTCACGAGATGGCTGGGCTAGCCCCTATTTTCTGCTGCTTCTTGACCACTAATTTGATTGCTGCTGTTTGATTACCGTTACACGCCAACGAAGAATACAAGGAACACCCGGCAGAACCACGCAGGGACCCAAAGGGAACTGCTGCAGTTTAAAGAAAAGAAAAAAAACCCAAACACAAAACAACTTTCGTTTTTCTTTTTTGTAAAAAAAAAAAAAAAAAAAAAAAAACTGCACCCTTTAGGTACATGTAAGGCCATTAATTAAACGTACTCACTTTGAAAGCCAGAAAGATGGATTGTGTTATAAATACCCCAGTATCAAATACAAAAAAACCCCCAAGCCCTGAGCCCCTGAAAAGCGTTCTCCAGTTACAGCTAGTTTCCATCTCGGATACACAGAGAAGAGAGCCACCACTTTATTTCCTGAAGACTTTATGTTTTCTGTCTGCCCCTCTCCTGACAACTCCCATTGTCTGGCCCCCGAGCAGCCCTACTGAGAGCAGCTGTACACGCTAATTTGTGGTTCACTGAGATGTCAATTGAGTCTGAAAATGAGAAAACAACAGCTGCAAAACAATACTTGGCTTGGGCACAAATATTTTCTAAGGTGTACCAAAGTTTAAGATGCTTTATTAGCTAAATATAAATACGAACCTTAACCCAAGGCAAAGGGAAAATAAATAAAATAATGGGAGCTTCAGTCATTTTCTGTCGGCGTTTGTCAGTCTACAGAAGCATTTCAAGTGTTAAAGGATTTCACAACTGTACCTTGAGAAGGGAGGACTCCTTTCATTCCATGATGAACTAGTTTCCGAATGCGTTCCTTGGCTTGCTTCTGCTTTGGAGCTATTATCACCAGCATCCCAGCCTGGTAAGGGAAAACATGAAATATAAATTTTCAGATAACAACGGCCAGTCCTCCCAACAGCACACAGTCCCGAGCACCCACACACTCCTGTTTCCAACAGACGCACGTAACGGCCACACTCTTGGTTCGATGAGAGTCTAGAGAGGAGCACGCACCACACAGTTAAAAGTGGCAGCCTCCAGATTTTTTTTGCTCACCGTGAGGTGGAAGTTAGTTAAAAACACAAGAGAACAAGACTCCCTTGCTATCAATTAAGTTACCTGATGATGATTGCTTATGAATAGTGACTTTTTTGCATGTTTTGCCTCATTTTAGAAAACAGAGCAAACACTGAGATTCTCTGACGAGCTGTATTGCATCATGGCAACTTAAAGGAAAACTTGAAGGATTTCTGGGGTCTTTTTACTTTTTTTTTTTTTTAATCCCCAAGTTCTCATTTACTTTAATTAATCAGGAAGCAAGGTTATTTTTATTCTTCTTCCCCTTAAATGTAGATTATTTTGGATAGTTACAGTCCTCAATAGTTTTTGGTACATCAGTATTTTCAACCATTCTCTTTCAAGAGAGCTGTGTTTGGGAGACACAGATCTTGGATTTTTATGACTTAAACAGCCAAACACCCAACGATTTCAAAATCTTTTATCCACGCGTTCCTTTCTTTCCTTTCTCCCTGCTCTCTGTATCTCATTTCCATTCTGCAGAGATTGATTTTAAAAAGAAAAAGAGGTAAATGAACTCATTCACTGGAATTGTACAATTACCGATCTTTGTACTCGTTTCCAAAGAACGTGATGCTCAAGTACAAATCCCACTTTAAAAGCCTGCTTTGCATACATATATATATATATACACACACACATAGAGAGAAAGAGTACTGAAACTATAAGCAAGCCCTAATTGTTACCAACTTCGTTCCAATCCAGGACAACTTAGTATTTCTGTACATCCTGGACACTCCTCCTTTCTAGGATCACACTGCTCTGCTCTTGGATTTCAGTGGCAGAAACCCTGCTCAGTCTCGGGTGCTTCCAACAAAGAGGTGCACGCCGGCCAGCCAGCACAGGAGACAGCGAGCTCAGGCATGGAGCTGCCCTGGCTGCAGCGTGCTGCTCTGCAGAACAAAGTCTCACTGCTTCCCAGAGAATGCATGAAGGAAAAGAAAAATCAAGAATGGAGGGGAAGAAAAAAAAGGAGAGGGGGGAAAAAAAAAAAAGGGGTAACACCCTCCTTCCTTTCCCGTGATGTACACGTGCAGGGGAGCAGAGACCTGTGGAGATCACAGGGGACCTCCTGGATGCAAGACTTACGGCAGCTCGGAGCGGAGGGTGAGCAGTGTGTGCAAGCACTGGGAAACCCCTGACCACAAAGGATCAAATATTCACGCTTGCTTGTACATTATTTAGAGAAAGCAAAAAAAAAAAGCTAATTTAATCTCATCAAGTCAGAACTGTCAGAAACTGCTTCTCACTCCAGCAGGGAAGAGCTTTAAATAGGTGCTTTTTTCAGGGCTCCTCGTGCACCAATTCAAACTACAACACACAACGCGGCTGAGATAGCGTGCTCCTCTCCTGCCTGGGGACAGAGCAGGCTTTGCTTCGGGAGGGCGTCCCTCTGCCTTGCACAACGCCAGGCGTGCCCAGCTGACAGAACACCACAGGCCACAGACTCTGCAGATGGTCAAAATCCATTTTGTGTGCCCTCAGACACGGCTCCGGTGTGTCCATGGCTTGCTTCCTGTGAGAAGCAGAACGTGAAGGAAACGGCCCGTGCACAAATCGGGTCTAACCACCCTTCCCCTTTCAACCCAGCGCGTGCAGAGGGACACATCTGCCTCGTCAGTCTGTTAACGGACCAAGCGCTTTTCCTCCTTCCAACCACAACAAAAAGAGTTTCCAGAATGGACAGTAGCTTCGGAAGGTGTTAGACACCCAGCCAGTGGGCTCCTTAATATCTGCAAACTCAGGGAACTGCTTCTACCTGTGCGTGAGTAACTTCCTCTGCTGCTGTGAACACTCTTCCCATCCCTCGGGGCAGTGACATGGAGCCAGTCTTTGGTCCAGGCGCACCCACCACACCTTTCCCGTTGGCACTTCACAGTCCAGGTCTTTGCCAGCTCTAACAAACTCAAAGCAGGCCACTGTTGTGCAGCTATCCTCATGGCTTTTGCACACACACTGGCCTCAAGAGACCATTCCCCCATGCTTTCCATGCCTGCACCAGCTCCCCTTCCTTCACTCCATCAGTCACACAAACTACTTCTTCACCTTTAAGGCCCTTCAGAGCCCAGCTTTCCCCACCTGTCCATTATAACACAACACTGGGCCACCAGCCTCCACTTCTGCCTTAGTTACGCCAGACAGCCTTGCCAATTAGTCCAGTCGTTCCCCTCAAGCATCTTTGTGCTGGCTCACACCCTACGTACCCTGCAGAAACAGGAGATCCCTCTAGGAACTGGGAAGCCCACCAGCTCACCTCCCCATAAGGCCTGACGTGGCCACTCACCTGGGTTGCAGTTACGGCGCCCAGGAAGCACCTGACAACGCGTGAGCAGTTGGTGTGCAGTGACTGCTGCTTTGTGTGCTGAGCAATCACCTGGCTCTTACCTCCTCTTACCCCACTCGTGGCCTAATCCCTGTGCCATCATGTCTGCGTTGTAAGCTGGCAGAAGGGAAGCATCTCTGTCACAGGCGTGCAGCGCTGACCACAAAACCAGCCCAGCCTGGGCACGCAGCAATACCTGCTTCACCATTGTGAGAAAGCACGAGCGACTGGTGCAACGAACCGGGCAGGAAAGAGAAGGTACAAGAGAAGCACTGCTAGGAGGGAAAGCCCTTAAACCCCTCACTCCTGATAGAACTGTGTTGTGCCGTAAAGCCCTCATGGGGATTAGCGTATTTCCTTCATAAAACCGATGGCTGCGTTTAAGGCTCAATACAACATGTTTCAAAAAGTCTGTTTTGCAGGGTGTGTGTGTTTCCGTTCTTGTTTGTTTTGCCAGAAGCATTTAACTTGCCATGCTGTGAAAGCCAAGCATACCCTCCCTGCCGCGGGCTGGGGATGGCGAGAGCTGTGCTGAAACACACTCGTTTTATCCTGAGCACACAGCAAGACAGATGCACTGAGTAGAGAAGAGGCAAAAACCTCAGTCTTTAAACTCAGATTGGGATGCTAATAATGAATGGGCGCTGGTGTGTCTGAGGTGACACAGCTCTCCTCGTGCCTTTTTCCCTATGCATTGTTCCCTCCACTCAGAGCTAGCAGAGGATCTGAGATACCTCTATTAATTAAAAACACTCTACACTTTTCAACTTGGAATTAATGGTGCAGTCAGCACAGGTCAGAGCAGCTTTCACGCCCGCTTTTACAATTTTGTTCTGAACAAAATGGGTGTAGTTTTCTTCATTAGCCACCAATTCCAGGAAAAAAAAAAAAGTCATTGCAAAATGAACCACTGTTATTTTGTTCTGCAGAACAGTTAATGTGATCTTTGACCCAGAACATACTGTACCAGCACAGAACTGAAAAGAAGGTATTTTCTCCATGTGTTCCTCCTGTGGCTTAGGTTGCAGCATCCATCCATTTACAGCCAAACATCTCGGGAGCAAAAGAAGTCATGTGATGTAATTTTTTGCAAATGAAGAGATCAGCCAGCTCATGGCCTTGTACTCACAACATTCCTATCTTGCTAACTGTATCACCTTTCGCAGAGGAAGACACCCACACTGTTTAAACACCAAAACCAGCACTAAAGCCCTTCACTGCAGTTGGAGCCCCACCACAGAAGAGTCATCTGCAGACACCTAATCATCCTTCTACAAACTACCTCCAAGTGCTTGACTGTCAGCCTGGAAATGGGAAAGGTAACTCCCAAGGTCGCTGGTTTTTAAAATGCAGACTGGGAAAGCAGAAATACCGCTGTGTTCATCACAGGGTTCACGTGCAGCCCACACCGTTTGTAAGCCTAAGTGAAATCTTTGACCGAAGCGACAAAGCACGTAAGTAAGCCGTGGTGCTGCTCTCCTGGAGAGGAACAGGAGCACTTTGTATGCCACTCCAAAGCTATGAAGAGCTATCGTCCGTTACCTCCAGTCAATAATCCCGTATGCAAACAGAGGTAGTTGGGGGGCAAAAGGCACTGGTGCTTTCGCAGGCTCAGCCCAGACATGTATCTGTATTTTCCTCCCATACGCAAGTGAGAAAGTAACTTCACCAAAAGGAACTTGACTTTTTCTGTGTACTCTTACCACCAATAAAATAGTCAACAGCGTGGGTATTTCAGCTGTCACTAGACTTCAGAGTCAATAATGCCTTGGAAGGAATATTACCCGGATCAGCGCAGCCTGCGAGCTGTGTGGTTTTACAGTTACCTTGGCAGCAGGTACTGCTCCTGTGTTCAGAAGTCCTGGTGGGTTGGGTCTGCCACACTGCTAGGTCCTGTACCAAAAAATAGCTCCTGCCCAGAGGAACTTTTAATCTGAACAAGCTCCTCCACCACATTAACGCTAATTACTGCGCTTGCTGATAATCTACAAAGAGCTCGGTGGGGTTAAAGGTGGGCTGTCAGCTGTCGTGCCACTGCCAGCACACAGCCACCGGCCTTGGGACCAGAGGTGTGGGTGCCAGGTGGCCGAATACAGGCTCTTCTACACACTAACTTCCCTTGCAATAAAGCAAAAACCTTGCATACAGAGGGAGGATAAGGGCTACCTGCAAATCTGATAGAAGGATGTGCTCTTTGGAGAGCAAATAGATGTAAAAAAATCTCCAAATTAAAACCTAAGCAGACCGCCGCAGTAGCCAGTATCCAGAAGTAGGTCAAATACCAACAAGTATCTCCCCCCATTCCTTTAAACTAAAAAAAAAAAAGGATAAAATACTCTTATCATAGGAGTGTATCAATGTACGATGCTGGCCTCTCAAGAGGAGACACTTGGATGACCAGCGGACTCGGGAAATCCCAGTGGAGCAAGCCATGCATCGAGAATACTGCTAGAAGCTGCTGCCTCTGTTTAAAGATTGAAGAAGAATTTTCACTCAGGATACATAACTGTGGAAAGACTCCAAGGTCTTTCAGGAACCTAAATCGAGCAGCATAAATATCACCTATTGGAGTACGTAATCCAAACTAATTTAAGCAGAACGCACAACCTTACGCTGTCCCAAGGTAGTGTCGTCAGACCACAACAGCGATTCATCATGCGTAGATGAACTTTTTTTATAACAGCAGTTGCGAAGGGGTTGATATCAAATGAAGCAAGAAGTTGGGTTGACTTATTAATGCCTTTATTAGTGTACTCCAAGCGGAACCTCAGGAACCTTTCAACTTCAAGCTCAAAGGAGAACCTCACCGGGAAGGACGGGTGGGTGTGGGAAAAGTGTTGGTGGGATTATTGGCTCATTAAAGGTGACCTAAAAAGGAAAGCAGAATTGGATTTGTGCCCTTTCATGTTCCCCTATCATATATCAAGAAGGACTAATTTTTTTTTCTTCTTAAGAGGGTTTTTTCCTCCTTATTTCTATGTTAGAGATTTTATACCTGGAAAGCAGATGGAAGGTAACATTCCAGATGTTGTGAAAGTAAAGCTGATGAGCAGAGAAGTAACACCATTTTTATTCAAATGCTTTCCAGATTTAACGTCTATTTAAATCAAAGCCATAAATGAAGGCTAGGGACAGAATCTGGTTTTGTTAAAGATTTAACAAACCTGCCCCTTCAATAAAATCAGCTGTTTCCTACTCATAAATGAGACTCCTGAACAGTTATCCAGCAAAACAAGAAATAATGGACTTTATCCTTTCTTTTTAACCTTGCATTATTTGCCTACCTCAGGAACAGCAAGAAGCTGGACAATTTCTTTTACATGTCTTCCCACAACAAAAACACAAAGCATCCATGAGGAAACTGAGAACGAGTCTGCGTATCCTCCTCTGTCCTCACATAACCTGGTATAAAATGAGATTGCTGTTAATAGCTAACTCCTCTCTGGGTGCACCATACACAAAATATAATCCTTCTAAAGTCAGTTATCACAACAAGCTTAGGACAAGGCTCTAGGAAGGAAGCCATCTTTATGCTACGAGCATGGGTTGACCATGGGTTTAAAAAGCTCACGTGTAACGATGGGAACAGCTCAGATGACATTTCAGCTCAAGCCCCTGTTTAGAAGGGCTCTGGGTGAAGCCGGTCCTCGCGCAAGTGGTTTCAGGGACCAGCAGGGGCTGTCTCTAGGGGACATCCAACGCCACGCCAGCTACGACGCGAAAACAGTCCTTTTCCCAAAGTCACACAGCTATCTCCTGCCTCCTCCACAGGCTTTAAAGAAAAAAATACACACACTTCTGGAACATTTACAGAATATTAAAGTAAACATTTTGATTCTATTTTTCTGTAAGTTGAACGAAAAATAAACCAAAACCACCGAAGCATTTGTAAAGGGCCATTACAGGAGACTGTTTGGAAGCACATCCACCCAGCTCTCACAACAAAGCCCATCAAAACCCCAAAGCCCCAAGGCTTACAGTGTTCCAAACTAACAATTAAAACCCTTACAGAATGCAGCAAGTACTGAAAGAAACCCAAAATTTGTATCCCTTAAGCTTAGAAAAAGTAGTACAGCAAATGGTCACGTATGGAATGGACATTAAATATCAGTTCTTCTGAAAACACAAAGCCAAACCCTCAAACAAGTCATTTGAGCCCAAAAGACGACACAGAGAGATGCTGCCTCTATTTTAGGCACTGAACAATTTCAGTGCTCCAGGGCCATGGTCTACAAAAAATAATGATGAGCAAAAAGGGAAAAAGCCACCGGCTGGAGGGGCGAGGAGCCAGAAGAGAACAAGAAGCCCGGAAAAGATCACGGGCTGAAGATGAATCGCATCTGAAAGGAGCAACTTTGCTTTCAAGTGAGATATGAAAAGCCTCACTCCTAGAGACAACGTGGCCACTGGCTACTGGAAACACGCTGCAACAAAACAGTAAAGAAAGCACATTAAGAAAGAACAGATTTCAAGCTGAAGTTACTGGTTTCAGTGTTTAAGCAAGGGAGAGTTTCCCAGCGTTTTTACAAAGAGGAAGCATTAGTATTTGCGTGCCCCTGCAGTAGGAACACTACGGGAGAAGCAGTGAAGGGGAATGGCCATCGTGGCTTGGCTTTTGGCTGACTGACATCTAACACAGCAACCAGCCACACAGACCACCGGGTCCCTGGCAGCAAAAACTGCAACAGAGTCTGTATGCAAAATCACAGCTAAGACCGGTATTGATAAGTCAGAAATTTCAGGGTGGGGAGAAGCAAACCAAAAGCACTGGCAGCTACGGAGATCCAAACTCAAGGGTCAGTATTCTCCTTAAAAAAAAGTCTCAGGGAAGGTATTAGTTGGAGGGAGTCACCATTCCTGACATTGTTCGTGCTGGCACTCTACAGTTCAGGGAACTTAAACCCCAATCCTCAAATTTGAATCCTCTTAACTTACAAACAGAATCGAACCAATTCCAAGATTTGCAAAATTTTAGATTCATTTTCAAATGAGAAGTGTGTTTTGTTTTAGGAAAAGGATTTAAGTGGCTTTTAATTCCTCTGCAAATCAGTGCAATTCAAGTTTTAAAATACGTTGCCATGTGTGACTGAGGGACATTTTAAGAAGCAAGAAAATGGAAAGCGTTCTACTCTCTAGAAGAAAAAATAAAATCTAAGTTTTATTGGGCTAACATAGGAATATTATTGCTGCGGTATAATTCAGGAATACAAGCAGCACTTTTTTACATTTCAGCTGCAAATTAGGCTCAAAAAGCAGCAGAGGAAAACCTCTATAGAGAAATGAATTGCTCTCTGAAAGACAGGCAATTTTGAAGCCATAAAAGCGCAGAAAAGCAACAGCGAGTGTTGCATAAGCAGATGCCCTCGCACCTTTCTGTCGGAGTACACACCTGCATAAATAAATATTTAGACAAACATCAAAATTTATAAGGAAGCAGCCCACCACTTTACAAACTCAGGCAAAAGCAAATTGAGACTCATTGCGCAGAGCCCTGCCCTGAATACTAATGCATTATCGATACCCCAGGACCGAAAAGCAGCCACATCTCGGGATCCTACGCAAGCCTCGTACATCTTCTGCAGGAGGATCTGGACACGTCTTGATAAAACCTTATTGATAAAAAATTTGTGTTATCAGGCAGCTTTTGTAACAGAGGCAAAGGCACGTCTTCCCGGCTCGCAGGGTTTTCCCCTGTGCTTATTCTAATGATACACATTCAATTACTCGAGAAAAGAAAAGAATCAAATCAGAAACATCTGTAGTTTGCCATATAATTACTAGATCTTCCCCATGGAGACTGACCTTTGTAACACTGATACCGGGACCTGAAAGGCTAAATGACAGGATATCCACACGGTTTAAATGTATAACATGATTACAAGGAATTACATAGGCACTGGTACTTTCCATCTTGGCTTATGTTAACATAAGCCTGGACTTTATGATCTGATGTTTAATCTTTGCGCTTGGTGTGTAGTAGCTGAATTTACTCACTACTAGTGGACCCAAACCACTAAAACGCCGTGTTTTGATTATATAATCAAGTTGAATACTGGATTCGAGGTTAATATGCAGTCGTGACTTTTACCTGTAATAGGAATCTTTTTGACCACGCTTTCTTCCTTGCTCTCATCTTCACACCAGCTTGTGACTTCTGGATGTGAACACACCATAATGAAACACATTTCAAAGTCGCAGTGATCAGACTGGTTTGTTTGCTTTTAAGCCCTACTCCCTTTAATTTCTCACTTTTGTTATCTCTTGTTTATTGATCTAAACTATCCATTACTGTTCTTAAAAGAGGCGCCTACTGTGAACTTTCCTCGCATGCGAGGCTGCCCTGCCTCTCTGTAGCTTCCAGAGAAAAGGACAAGCTAACCAAATGTCTTCAATAATTTAAGACCCGATGGGATTTAGGAAACAAACAACCCACAGTAACTCTGCGATCTCGTCCGGCAGCCCGACAGCAGCAGCGTATATCATACAGACTGCAGAAAATTAGTTTAAATCAAAGTCTCCGTCTCCTCCGTGGATAAAAGTCGTGTGAATTTAGGAGGCCTAAAGCAGTTTGTTTACATTTGCTGTGTAAAGAGCACTGCAACCTAATTGCCTGTCTCTTCCGGACTTTGATGTAAGGGATGCTCTGAGAGCAGACCGAGCAAGTTGCCGTTGCCAGTTATTACGCCGGACTAATATATTACTTCCTTATCTAAAGAAATTAACTGGGTTTTCACAAATGCGTTCACCTTCTATGCTCTGAAACGGCACCGCACACCTTTCTCAGCATGAACCCTTTTATTTTTGAAAATTTATTCTGCCGTCTGGCTTTATAATAAAAGGCAACAAATATATCCCACTATTTCTGAATGGCAGACATTTCTTACACACACACACTCCTACAAATCCATTTGTAATAACTGACACAAGGCTTGCTTCTCTACTCCTGCACTAAAAAACCAGTCTCAATAGGCACCACTTATTTTAAGAAGTAACAAGAATGACAAGGGATACTGAGATATTCAGGAAAATCCCCCAAAGTTCATTACAAATATACGTTAATTCTCCAGATGCTGTAAGATAGTCCCCCTGCAGATCTGGATAGAAAATACATATATGCAGAGAAGGACAATAAGTTTGAGCTCACAGCCAGACCTTTTAACACTTGTTACCTTGTTCTCCCGCGCCAGCGAGCTGGGGAGCGTGTTTTGCCTGCTTGATTTCCCCGCTGCCGTTTGGGATCGATGGCAAGCTAGAAGAGGATTCGTTACTCTGAATAGATGACCTATCCCCACACTCTTCGGGAAGGACTTCTCTCAACACCGGTAGAGCCTGCAGCATTAAAAAAATAAAAATAGCCATGGCCCTATTATCCTTCATCTTGAGCATTTTCCAACATCCGTTTAGGCTAATCTACACTTCAGAATGTAATCTGTTTCCAGGGTGTTTTTGTTAGATGTTAAATTACCTCTGAGTTAATTCAGCACTAGCTCAGAAATTGCATTCTGCCTTGAAGTAACACAAACTTTGAATTATTCTTTCAATCACTCGGTTTTCTGGAAATTCTCAGTATTCCCTGCTTCACGCATTCAGGGTAAGCAAAACAGAAGGGTGCATCAAACACACTGCAACAGCACCAGACTGAAAAGAAATCTCTCCATTTCAGGCGCGCTGCAACAAGGCAAGTGAACCCACAGCGTGAGCAATAGCTGCAGCTTAAAACAACACCAAAAGCAAGGAACCTGAAAGCAGAGAACCCAAAGCACAGCTTGCCCAAGATAGCCTCAGCCAGCTGCGGTTCTGATTTAAATCCGTGTTATTCCTGCACGTTCGTGAAGTTTGTTCTGCCTGTGCACGCAGCCCTCTGCGGCAGCGCTATTCAGACCTCCGTAGTTAAGTGTATTTTTGACGCTAAAAATTAAGTCGGAAGCCAATACCTTTCTGGGGAACTGTAATATGTTATATCATAAATATGGCTGAGTTAAAAGCAGGCTTAAAATAAAGCAAGAACATCTTAGGTTGTCATCCATCTGCATTAAGAGTACTGTGTGTGGCTTTGTAAAGCTCTTCCCAAGAGCAGGAGGAACCATCCTTCCTGGCATTTATTATTTCACAAAGAGCAGCAAAGGCTTTCTGGGCATCCTTTCTACCTCTTCTTTATTGTAGGGTGTTCCTCTTGGTTTTATTTTGTAACACAAAATACAGACTTGAGTCTTTAAAATCTACTAGATTTTCTGCTCTAATTTTCCAATTGTTTACTAAAATAGTAAGCCTTCAGCAATGAGGACCAACATTTCAGAGACAACTCCAGGTTTGGTAACTTATTTTTTATGTACTGACCTGAGAGTATGGACAGCTTCAAACCAAAACTTTTTTGGACTTATGAAAAAATTGTTATCCTGCATCTGCCCCCTCCTCATTAACCCATATTTATTCAGGAGCCCAGAATGCAACTTTTCAGTGTTAAGCACATAGCTCACCATTTTTTTCTTTCTATTAAAATTACATATAGGAAGACTCCATACAAAACCAATGTGAGCAAGCTGCTACTTCATTCAAAAAACCCAGGAGTTTTAAAGTCTTATTTTCTTAATGTAAAGAGTGCCTTAAATTACAGGCAGGATTGGCAAATCTTTACTATTGAAAGAAATTAATTCCCACATAGCAGTTCATCTCAGCGTGGATTTCTCACACCAGCAGTACTTTGTTTACCTATTTGTACTCTCATGTAATGTCCAAAGAGGCACAAACCACCACCACCAAATACAAGCTATCCCTGTAAAAGCTGACACCACAGTTAATCCAGGCAGGACAGTTCCCACCAGGAGAAACAAAGCTTGGCATTCGGAGTCACAAGGACCAGGGCGACTCTGTGGTGGCCAACATCTCCATCAGGGTGTGAAGACATCCACCATCCTGCATGAGCCATGTGGGTCTTGTTCTTACAGGAGCGGAACCTGGCTGAAAAGGGTGCTGGATTCCAGAGCGTCCGCAGCCAAGAGACCATCCCGCTGCACAGAAAAGGTGTTCCTACTGCACCAGCTCCCCTTCACCCATAAAGCTTGTGTCATTGAGCTTTGACTTTGTTACAAAGTTTTTACATGCAATTATAAATTTATGAACTGTATTTGTTTATCTGTCACCAGCACAATGATACATTCCTTGCTCACATCTTCTACTTGCCTGAATGCTTTAAGAACAGAATACAAATCACTTATCCCCACACAAAAAAAAGAAGTCACTCTGGCTATCATTGAAAGCATACAACTGACTAAAACGTTAAAGCTCTGTTACTTGTTTCAAATAAAACTAGAATATAGCAAAGCAGTTCAAACTGCTTTCTAATTTCTCACTAAAAATCAGAGGAAAAATATTTTCTGCAAATATTTTTTGGAGCAGACCATCGGGCTAACTCATTACCGGTGAGCTCCTTGGCAGAATTCCCGGTTCCCACCGCAGGGGTGGTGCAGAAGCAGCTGGGATGTCACCCCAGTGCCAGAGTCCCAGCTTTGCTGGCATGGCTGCAGCTGGAGGCAGCAGGGATCAGAGCCCTGCCCAGCAGGAATCAGAGCCCTGCCCTCCCCGCATGGCTGGCTGCTCTGAGTTTGCAGAAAAAGAGGTTGGGGTAATTGCAGGTCTACTGAATGCCAACTTCTTTTTATTTTTTGTTTTAAAGAGTTTAACACCTTTTGCATTAAGGTTTACAAAAAATGAGCACACTGCTATTTGTAAAATGCTCTGCGCATTCAATGCACCAAACATAACTCTGTTTAAAAAAAATAAAATACACCATTCATGATAAAAAGCTACTAAGCCAGAGAGAAAGACAGATGATATAAGCCTTGTGATAAATTCACACCACAGCAAATGTGAGCTTGTTTAAATAAATAAGTGGCTTGAAGGGTGGAAAACAGACATCCTCCTGGAGACCTTAAAGAGACTGCTTTCTTTGTGGGATGAAGTGCTGCATGTGTTTGCACTAAGACAAGCGAAGAACTCATATTCTCTTCTTACACACCTCCTAACCATCCCCACGGCTGATTAATGAACAGCCTGCTTGCTGTTCCCCCTAAAGCCCACGTGCCGGATTGCGTTAGCAGCACAGGGCGCAGCTCGCCTGAGCTGTGCAGATCGGTCTCTAGCTGTCATTGATTTAGATGTTATTAGATCCAACCTGGCCATCCTGCGCCTCCTTGCTGGAAACCAGCAGGCTTTCAAACATCTCCGCCACTTCTTCCGTGAGCTGAACCTGGTGCTCTCTCAGGAACAGGGCATGGTTGCTCAAGCAAGTCCGCAGCAGATACGTGTCCCACTGCTGCTCTGGCCTGAAAAACAAACCCAAGCACCATTAGTGGGACCCCCCCATGTACACGAGACTCACCCAGGTGGCACGCTACTCATCTACTTGAACAAGCAGGTCAACATGCAGTGCGAAAAGCCATCACATGTTTTGTCCTTAATTCCTGCTTTTTCTTTTAAATGTGTCTGAAGTGGAAAATGTAAAAAGTCACTCATGACTTCTACAAACCTGGGGAGGACAGGCAGGGGCGATCATCATCATTTCTGTCCCCTGGGTCCATCCTGAGACTCATTAAACCTTTTCTGCAGCCCCAGATCTCAGCCTTGAGCAAACCTCACTTACTTCATCAGCCACTCTGCTGGGCACCCACCTCCCCAGGCTTGTCTTTCTTTTCCTCCAGAATTCTTGTTATTTTTTTTGAGCAAAAGTGCCTTTTAAAGCAGAAACTATAGAACCTGCAATCTTGTTTGCCACAGATGTTTGTTTTTCCAGTTGCTCCAATGAAGTTTCACAAACAGAGGAGTGAATTCCAATTAACTCCACAAGTGTGTGTCCCTAAGAAACCATTCGGGAAATACAACAACATATTAGTGCTCGCAGGCATATCAGCCTCGAAAGGAGGACCAGGTATGGTTAAATAGACCACTCTTCAGTGCTCACAAGTGCCCCGATCCTGCTAACACTTGAGCATTGCTGAGCCTGTAACAGGGAGGAAGGTCTAGACAGAAGCTAAGAAAGAAAGAACAGAAATTGTTTTCATTACTGCATTAAAGAGACAAAAAAAAAAAATCAATTCTCATTTGTCCTTGTGGCATACGCAGAAAAAAAATTTTGAATAACTGTGGTTTGTTGTTTTTCAAGTCTATATGCATCTTCCGCTCCACAGAAAAATAATTTGCTTCTCAAAATTACGTTACCCATCCTTATGTGCCTGAGACTCATGTTGAAGATCACAGAAATTACTGGCTAAGAGGTCACTGAAGTTAATACTTTTCTATCCCTGCCAGAGCAGCCTCGGGGTAGGGAGATGCTGTGGACTGGATGAGATGGGGGGACCTGGCCCCAGCGCTGCCTGGTGGAATATGATTCACCATCAGTGAATGAAAAGGAAAAGAAATGAATTTGCTTAACGTTCTCATTTCAAGCTGCACGGCTGCTGCCAAGATGCATAAAGATCAGCACTCAGACATCTTTATTTTCCAGTGCGATTGGAGGTCTGGCCCCTGGTCTGCTTTCTCTGTGCCAGAGAGACAGAGCAGACTTGGGGAGGAAAGAAGAGAATGTTAATCACACCCACACACAAGTTTTGTGTCTGCAATACCTGGTTTGCTTTCCATCCACCACTCCACCTTTAGCATCGAGTGTTTTCTCAGGTAGGAGGGATCCATTCAGCACGCTCGGTAATAAAGCCTGAAGCTGATGAAGGACAACTGCTTCGCATGCTTCAAGGTCTTCTTCTTTCAGACTGCCGGACTGATTACAAAAGCTACAAAATAAAGCAGGTGTTACATGCAATGTTTTTATAAAGCCCAGACAGCCAGCATCTGTTTGGAGGCAGGATCTGTGACACTTCTCCTGGCTAAGGGGATAGCTGGCAGGACAGCCCAGAGGGACAAACACCCACAACACTCTGCAAAAGATGCTGAACAGGACAGGGAAGTTAAACCCAGGACTTAGAAAATGCCAGGTTTAATCTCACACCTCTGCTTTTTGAGAGGGAGAGAGGAACCTGCGCACATCCACTCAGTGAAAGCCCTTCTCGGCCAGGCAGCCCCGGCCATGCCGTGGCCAAAGCACTTATGTCGCAGGAACCCACCACCAGTGGCAGGCTGGAGGGGCCAGGACAGTTTGGGAACCCTTCCTCGTCATTCCCCAGAAATCCTCTAACTGCCAAGTGCTTATGAGAATCCTGGTTTAAGGAGGCTGACATATAATTTTAAATAAAATTATAAAGCCATTCCAAGTTCTGGTAACTAAGAGCCTGTGCTGCGGAGGGGCAGCGAGGGCACTCTGACCTGGTTTTGCTAGCACGTGGGTTTTGGTGATTCTCTTTGCTCTTCTACCTCAAAGAAGAAATTGTTTTTCTGGTTATTGTTTTCTACCTCAGTAAACCATTACTAGCTAAGGGGATGCTCTTATTCTTGGAAATAAGTATTTACTTCACCTAAGGGATCTGCTCGCAGCAGAGCAAGGCTGCAAAGAGTGCTACATTTAGGGAAGAGTATTTGTTGGAGTAATTTGCGTATGTGCTTCTAAGTGCCATATTTCAGCTCTCTGATGACATTAAAATGGTGGAAGGGGAGGGAAGCATCTTAGCAACTGGCAACGTTTGTTTGCAGGAGCCCGCTTGCTCTTTGTGCCAGCCATTTGTCATTGCAAGAGCGAGGACCCCTGGCTCCCATCTCAACAGGCTCCTGCAAAGCTGCTTGGTAACAGCCTCTCGCCACTGCTCACCTGAATTTAATTAGAAGCGTGTAAGCAATCAACAACAGAACTATTATGAGCATTACACTAGATGTAGGGCAGCAAGCAAACAAGAACACAGGGGATAGGTTAAGGGGTAGGCAGCGCTGCCTGCCTCCCCGGTTCCTACCCACTCCGGGAGGTAGCTCGCAGGGAAGCGGCGTTCACCTGAGCAGCTCCGCTGTCCCCATCGTCCCCACATGCTGGCCCTGGTACAGCGCCCGGTGCTGGGGGCTCATCCTCACCACCGTTTCTTCTATCAGCTGCAGCGCACAGGAGAGTCCTGCCAGCATCCCGCAGTGCCTGCGGACAGACAGTAAACAGGGCTTGAAGCGACCTGAGCTGCAACAGGTATTTTAAATGCATTCCCATCGCACCAGCTGGAAAAACAAACACCCTCATTTGAGCTTTCCAAAGCGAACAACAGCAAAAACTATGTTGCTGGAGCTCTGTAAGAAGAATTAAAAAAAAGCACATATGCAAACAAACCATCCAAAAAAATCAGACAGAGCCTGAGACGCTGCATTGAAATTACTCCTGCACCGGGTAGTTTAATTCCTTCACCTCCACAATCAGAATAAATCTGGTGACCACCTACAGGTATGGGGACATAACTGGGACCTCAGAGGGGTTTTGATGAAGCTGCACCTCTATAATGATGCAAATTAGGACTTAAACATTGAAACAATACAGCAGGCTAATCCTCGAACAGAGGTGTAAATGGCTATTGAGGCCCAGCCCGCCTGCCTGCTTTGTTGGGGACTTTCCCGGCCAGGTCTCCACCAGCAATGCCCCAGCTGGGCCGGGTGCCTGCAGAGCCCCGCAGCCTCAATAAAGATTTATTTTTTCTTCCCCCGTGTGTAGAAGCTGATATATTTATACAGTTAACCTTGGTTTACACCCCCTCAAGCGAAAAGCTCTGTGCACAAAAACTTGCATTATTTTTGCAATGGTGTTGAGCTACACTGAAAGTTGTGTTCCCATCGGACTGTTGGGCAACAGTGAAAAATGAAGTGGGAGCTGCCGCGCATTTAGTTGAGTTTCCTAGACATTTAATAAGCAAAACAATACCAGGGAGATCACATATGCAGTTAAACAGTGCTTTTTCTTTTCCCCCAGTCTTACAAACCCTGTATTTTAGCGGCCGGCTAGTTTCCCATTGTTTTTCTCCCGCTGGGTGGTCCTTCCAGGGTGCCACTCGAGAGGGATACAATAATAAAAAGGGAAGGGGAAGGAAGGGACACCAACATAAAGAAAAACAAAATGTATGACAATCTGCAGCAGGCTACGGATCAGAGGTCAGCAAACAAGAGGTCCTTCTCTTTTACAGGTTGCTTCCTGGAAACAGTCTGATTAAGCTGACAGCTTGAATTATGTGTTACATTTTGTAATGCACAATCCATCTGTGCTAAGTCCTCTTCAATGCAGCTGAAGCAGCACAGGCATAAGCTCTGCCTTTTTCCACCCCCTCAGCACAGCCCTTAAAATAGTCATCATCTTTCTCTGCACTAATTCTCAGAGACCCTCTCCCCCCCACCTCCCGCTCCCTGGGTTTAAGACCTTAAAGAAAGGGCCGGGTGCTGTACGGAATGGTAAGAGGATACGGA